GATTCAGGGGATTCCACGTGAGAGAGTTGGTGGAGCTTCTAACGCGCAATGGACGCAAAACGCCATGCCGATGAAAAAGAGGAGTCCTACACAAAGAAGATGCAGATGAAGATGTGAACTGGCAAAGACAACGAGATTCAAAAGCTTTCAGTGATGAGGACCAACGCACATGTCGATGTGCCGTGAACAACAACATGTGATGTCTGCAGCAGAATTAAAACAACATGCCCGGCCCCCTTCATGCTCTGCAGGAGCGAGCCCTCACGTGCACGCTGCGGAGATTTCCCTGTGGTTTTGTATCTGATCGGAGAATCTCCTGCTGAGTTCTAATGAAAGTCCTCACAAAGTCTGGAGCCCATCGTCCTGATATTTTCCGGAGTTCATGTCTGGCAAAGACTGTACAGATCAAAACGATCTTTTATTTAAAAACCCTTTCTAATAACTTAACTAACTCAAGGCTGATATCGTCTCTTTTCTCTGTTTTGGTCTCTTGACTCCTCAGACAAATATCTGTCTCTTTAGCTGCTTGTTCCTCATTAACTTTTGTTGTTTGGTGCCGAGCAGGTACAGTTGGTTTTTCAGTGAAAACAGCTGCCTGATGAAAACAACCCTGTGAGACCGAATCAAAACAATCAGCTGAAACACGTTAAAACCTCAGTGATAATAGTCTGTGGGTGTATCGCTCCAAACACGAGTGTTATTGTATAACACATGAGACAGCTCTGTCAGAGAAATATCAAATAGAGTTGTTGTGGGCTTTGGTAAATAATACTACATGTTTAATTTCTTTTCATTTTTATTTAACATAAAATGGAAAATTGAGTGTGATATCTCCATCAGCAGTGACTTTGTACACAAAGTTAATATATATATATATATATATATATATATATATGTACTGTATATAAAATTTTACTGAAGTGATATTGAGACATTAATTCAAATTTGGTTTAATCGAGTCATATAAAGAAATTCTTTACCTGATGTTTCACTTTGAGTCTGAGGGGAATTTCACATGGAGGGAAATTGTGCCTGTGGTTGTTTCGAAGACAATAAAACAACTTCAAACAGGAAATGCATTATATTTGGCCAGCGCAGGCCACAAGGTAATATCTGTGAAAGTTTACAAAGCATGCGCGCTGGATTACCAATTATCGATAGGGGGGAAACCACAAGTTGGTTTTGTTCCTCACCTTATGTCTTATGTCTTATATTGCATTTTCACACCCTTGGTTTGTTCCAGTGTTTTATGTGTAGTGTGTACGTAAATACGAAACTGCCACTGTCAAGTTACAAAAAACACGAGCCATGAAACACTCTTTTTCCAAGTTGCTAAATATTAAAATAAAAAAAAGTACTGCATAGTTAATTCTGTAGAAATAATTAATTTACTTTTGGCTTATTGTTCAAAACTCCGCAGACAGTATTGTGTTTTCATATCTCGTGCAGTTCTGTCAGCATTAAAAAAGAAACCATAACTGATTGTGAGCAAAAATCGAAACCAGTTTCTTGTTAAAACCACCCACGTTTCCTGCTGGTTGCTGCTCCACCGCAGCACCAAAGTTGCAACTGAAATGTTTTGCTCGTGCAGCTTGATGTGTTGTGTATTCAAAGCGTGCATGAGCCTCCAGTTGGGCTGCAGCACTGACCATCTGGCCTGCATCAGTTTCGAGTCAAAGCACAGAACTGCCTGAGCTACCTGGTTTTTGTCAGTGTGATGTTCACATGAGGATCAGTGATGCTGCGCCGCTTCCGCCACAACAATGAACATTTAGAAAAATAAAACAGAATCAGACTGGGTGGATCTTAACAAGCCTGTTGGTGATGGAAATTTTTCACGAGTCCACAAACGGCACACACCGAGGTGGACCACCTGTTCTTCATCTAAAAACACGCTCAATAATCATTTGATAACTAACTACCAACATGAATGAACTATAAATGTAATGAGTGGCTGCATCTGACACAGTTTATAACACTAATTCCATCGTTGTTAAATGTAAAATATACGATCACATAAGTAACGTGGGTCCAAAATGACTGAGAGGATTTAAAATCAAGTTTTATTCTGTTTATATATAATGAGCTGAAGTAAAAACTCACATGAGTAAAAACATAAAATACAAGTAGAGAGTGAAAAGTGATTTAAACAGTGAGTTTCCGGTCAGTCTGCATCACTCTCACTCTGCTGTCTTCCACATGGACGCCACTCTGACCTCGTCTTTGTCAACCAGCCCGCTGTTATTGATGTCGTCCATTTTGTTGCTGCAGTGGTCTTTTCAAATCTACGGAAACCAACAAGACCAATGAGTTCACCTCTTCTCAATGGCATCCTCCGCCATAAATCGTAGCTTTTCATTCTCCGTCGGCCCCACGACTTTGACTCGGAGACGAGGGATGGGATTAAGGGGCGCTGACAGAGGTGTCAAATTGATACTGTCTCCTCGCAGTATTTACTACAGTATTACTATCGACAGCGGCTGTGTACTGAGGAGAATGTGTAGCGAAGGGAAAGCCATCTTGTCTGAAAATAAGAAAGAAGAAGTGGACTATTGTTATAATGTGTGTACAAGATACTTACACCTAAAGAGGACAGGCAACACCCCGAACACAGAAAAAGAAGAAACACACACACACACACACAAACACAAATTCATACAAACACACGATTGTACGCGCGACACAAAAGGCGGCACAGACACCGAGCTGTGTGCTCCCCAAACCTCTTTTATCTGCCACTGCATTAACAATGTATGACTGTGATTTTCATATAATGTGTGTCATATCACAAAGTGGCAGGTTTTCCAATTGTCCAATAATGATCTATTTGCCAATTCAATACTATTGAAGAAGAGACAGGAGGCAGACGTAGAATGAATAAAACATTGAACGGAGGGATCGTGACAGTTCCATTTCAATCTCTCTCTGTCTCTCTCTCCCTCTCTCTCTCTCCCTCTCTCTCTCGCTGAGTCTCTAAGAAGACTTGTGTGCAATTGGGGTAAAATCAGTACTTGGACGGTTGCCTGAGTTTGTGTGCACATTGCATTTCTCTGTTCTCTTTATCTCACACTAGACGCCTACGATGCACCACTTTCACAAGCAAAGATGAAAAAAAAAACGTCTTCTCGCATCTGCTCTCCTGTTTGTTAAGATAGTTTACTGGCTGGTGTCGACTGCATCCACGGCTAATTAGGTAATGCCATTGGAGCCCTGAGCTAAATATAAATATAGGATACAAATGTGACCCTCTTCAGTGCGAATACCCTGTGAGGTACAGAGAGTTGTGGGTGTTGGCGGATCTTTAAAACGACGATTACCGCGTCTTTAAAAAACAAAGTGTGATCGTCCAGTTATAGTGAAAACAGGACCAGAAATTAAACAACGTCTGCAGGGAAATTAAGAGACATAAGGCATTTTCTCACTTTTTCACTTTTTTTATTATGCAGGTTTGAAATAAAGAAGCGTTGTGACACAAACAGATGCTGCTGGCAAGGAAAGAAAGGAGCAGCACCCAAAATGTAAAAAAAGAAAGAAATAATAATTACTGTGGTCATCATCATTTTTTTTTTATATCAAACCAAAGGAAACAAAACAATAGATTAAGAATAAAAATACACCTCCATTGTAAGAAGCAAAAGTGATCTAATTTCTTTCATAAATAAGAAAAACCTGTCAAATGGCTGATGGGCAACTAGCGAAAAAAAAAAAAAAAAAAAATATATTGATAACCATTTAAAATATTTATCGTTACTGGCTTTACAAATAAAATAACTACAATTGGCAGGGTTTTTTATTTTTACACAACTTAGAATGTTATAGTTCTGTAACAACTAAAAGTGGATCGATGCTACAGAGTAAAGAGATGAGAACAGATGTCTTTGTCAGCAAAATGCATTTCTGTTAATCACACGAGAGTTAAAAAGATGAGATCAACACAACCAAACACCGACTAGAAACTTATAAAAATCACTGTAATGTGGATGTGATGGCTCCATTCACATGTTCCATTACTTCACTTCTGCATGTCGAGGAGACGAGAATCGACATCATGGTCAGACAAAATAAGAAGAGGGAGCGAGGGAGCGAGGGAGGGCGAGGGAGGGTGGGGGGGGTGTCTTGAGGTAATATCTTTTTCTTTTTTTTTTGTTCACCTGCAACATTATATCTCATTTTATCTCCTGGCGTTTTCTGTCTCTCTTTGCGTGTCCTTCCTCTCTATCTCTCTCCTGGCTCTTTCCATTTAATGATCTGCAGGACACATATTGTGTATTCTGTTTTAGATTGAACTTTATTGGAAAAAAAACACACCAGTGAGCACAGATTTAATGCAGGAACGAGAGTGTGAAATACTCCTCTGAAATCCAGCTGCACACAGCTGTTAAAATTCACGGGAAAGAGACTCTGAAACACCGAAACGCTCCCTTGCACGTGGGTCCGTGCACGCTCTCAACTGCGTGCGCTATGAATGGGGTACATTCTAACGTCCACACACACACACGTGCATCCATACACACACACACACACACACACACACACACACACACACACACACACACACACACACAATGACTTACATGTAATATTAAAGAAGAGACAAATCTATCTGGACTTCCAATTCCCAATCTGATCCCATAAAAGTGATATTTACAATCACACTGTGACAGCTCAGTAGACCCGAAACAGGTCTTTAATATTAAAAAAAGATTCTTTTTGTTTTGTTTCTCCTCCCCCACCCAAGCTTTTTCATATTAATTTGCAGGCCCTTAAGCAAAGCTACCATAACATCAAGGCCCGTGCTGAACCTACTAGAAGTTAATATTTCTCTACAGCACAGGGCCCCCCCAAAAAAACAGAAGAGGAACAATTTTGCAAGCCAGAAATAAATAAAACAGCAACGACAACAATAACAACAACAAAATAAGGGGGTAAAGAAAATACAAAAAAGGAAATGAAAATGATTAAAGAAGAGGAAGAGTCTTTTTTTTTTTTAATTCTTCTCATTCTAATTAAAGCTGGATGTGGCCCCTGAGGGGACTGTGACATAGCAGAGGAGTGCTCAGCGGCCCGGTCTGTCTCCGAGAGGGCACAGACGCACAACTCAGACAGAGGAGGGGAAGGAAAGGGGTGGGGTGGGGGGCGTCGCTTCGTAAGTGCTTGGCAAATTTAAACAGCGAGAGGACTGCTAATACATTAAGTGGTACAGACAGTAGTCATCTAGTCAAAAAACTCCGGTCACAAATTCTTCTAGAAACTGAGAAACAAAATAATAATAGTTACATTGACAAATAAAGGTGGTGGTGTGTGATGGTGTCTGGGAGGCAGAATGTGTGTGTGTTTGTATGTGGGAGTGTGTAATTGTATGTTAAGTGTGCACTGTGTGTATGTTATGTGTGTGCATCAGAGGAGAAGGAGAAAGGGGAGAGGGGGATGGTTGATGGGGGGGGGGGTGACAGTAGACTCCTCGGTGTCGTATTTGTTGACAGAGATCTTCAGTTTCAGGTGAGGTAGAGTGGCTTGTCCCTGCCTATCATGCTGCCACTGCACAGGGAGACAGAGACGGACACAGGTTAGATTCGAAGGAAAAAGGTGGAGAAACATTTTTCTCCGACTGTTTTCATTTGCAAAAACCCAGATTCTCACATGAGCAGTTAAAATCTAATTTCCTCCACGTGTAAAAAGTTGTATTGTTGTAAAATGCTGAATTTAAGTGAACAAAGCCTTTCCTCTAATCAATGTCGTAAATACTGTTGTTCTGTTGATGTGGTCAGTTACAAGCAGCATCTGTTGCACATCTGTCCGTCATGTATANTTCTCTTTTGTCCTCAAGGACATATGTAAAGCGTCCTTGGGTCTCTTGAAAGGCTCTATATACATTCAAACTATTATTATTATTATTATTATTATCATTATCCTTCCATCCATTCATCCAGTCATCATTTATCTATACTGCTCATGATTTGAGGGTCACGAGCTGGAGCCAATCCTAGCTGACATGGGTGAGAGGCGAGGTTTTACCATGGACAGGTGCCCAGTGTATCACAGGGCCAACGTTCAGGGACATACAACCATTTACACCAACATTTACATTGACAGTCAATTTAGAGTCCCCAATTAACCTAACCCCAATCTACATGTCGTTGGACTGTGGGAGGAAGCCAGACTAACCTGACAAAAACCACACGCTGCTGCCGGCCAAGCTGGGATCTGATCTTGGAGACTTCTGAGTCTAGAGACATGTCCATCCACTGCCCACCGTGCTGCCCACTGTTATTAATGCATTTCACTGATGCTTATAATGGTAATAAGTTTTTTTTTAATTATTATTAATAGAATATACACATTTTTTCTTGATTATTAATTTTTAAGTGTGATGCCTGGACTTACATAGGATAAGTTTTCAGAATTTTTTTTGAGTCACTCTGAGGTTTCTATGTTTTTTCCCTGTTAATATTTTTTGTTTGTTTGTCCTTATTCTTGTTAAGTGTTAAGAACAGAGGATGTCACACCTCGTTAAGCCCAATGAGACAAATTGTGATTCGTGAATAAGGGGCGATTGTTCATGTTGCGTTCTACACTGGTATCCAAGATGAGTGGGTTATTGAATGGTCATGTGACGGGAGCCTGGCGATCAGCGAAGGCTACATCGTCAACGAAAAGACCCAATAAACAATGATGAAGATATCTAAGATCTAAATCCAGCCCTGGAGTTGTCAAACTAAAAACAGTGCATTTCCTGCACTCTGCTGTAGCGGCTCTAAAACTCTGGAGTCGACTCCAGACGAGACCATAGCAGAGTTTGTGCGTCTTCAAATGAAAACGTTGTAGTATGGATGTAGCCTCACTATGACCGAGCTCTGTTGATAAACCGATCATTTCCCGGTGCTTATATCTTCCAGTGCAGCAGGACGGCTCAGCCTGCCAAACCATTTAGTACAATAACAGTGAAAACTCATGTTAGGAACATCTGTTTTTTTTCTTTCCACTGCTGCCTGACAAACACATGACAAGCTCTATTATCTCACCATTACCTCTCCAGCTGTCTCCCCTGTCTCACTGCAACACAGCTGACACCTCTCACTGCTTATATTGTGAAAGACGTGTGAGAGACTGACGTGACAATATATGTTTATCTCGAAAGGAGTTCCACAAACGTTTGAGTTTCTTATGAATCTAACCAGAAAAGCTGTTGTAAACACATGACTTCCATTCTTTCAATAATTTGACTATTTTTGTCCTGGTTTGTTTGTCAGCAGGATTTCACAAAAACTAATGAATTGATTGCCACAAGACTCGGGGGGGTAACGACGCAACATCGGAAAAGAAAAGAAAGAAATTTTGGCGCAAATCCGGATGAAGGGGCAACTCAAGGAATATTTTTTCACTTCTTTAACTTTGCGAGGGCGGTTTTTGACATTTATACCAATATCTCAGGGAATAGTTCACGGATCATGATAAAAAACATTATTTGATATCTATGAGTGTGTGAACTTTGGTGCAACTTAATTGGACTGTTGGGCCTTGGTGGAGGTATGCACTTCATATATATATATATATATATATATATATATATATATATATATTTATAGTACAGTAAATAAAACTTGGTTGCTCTCAGTTCATCTCTCTCCTATCCGACGCTGTGTGAGTTGATGGGTTGCTGTAACAAAGGTTATTGTGGAAAATGGGGGATGCAAATAAAAGCCACTGACCTGCAGTGGTTGCCACACTCCCGATTGCAGTATTCACCGTCCCAGTCGTGGCCCTGAGGCACTCCAGGGCCTGGACCAGGACCAGGGGCTCCTGGAGACTGGGAACCACCAATACTCTTCTGATACTCTGACTGGAGGTGGGAGAAACCCTGGGGAAAGACCGACAATTAAGCCCGACTCTTAGCGTCAGAGAGGTTCCGCAGCAGGAGGCGTGTCTCTGTTTGTTACTCTACCTGCTGCCCATGAGGCGGGGAGTGAAGAGAGGCCTGCAGCCCCATCTGGTGAGGGATGATTGGCTGGGACTGGACCTGCTGCATGCGGATAGGCTGGTTGAGAAGCGAGCTCTGGTGCAGGGAGAGCTGCTGGTGGGGGTGAAGTGGGGGGCTGATCTGGAAGGAGGAAGGGGGAGAGGCACTAATGCTGGGCAGCATCTGCGATTGGCTGAGCGTCTGCGACAGGGTGTGGCGGGGGGCGTGTCCTGCGTAGCTCTGCAGGTCGGTGAGAGGGAAGGCCCCGGGCCCCAGGTAGGGTGACGACGGCTGGGGAGGATGTGGCACGCTGTACAGGGGCGGGTTGGCTGGCATCATGTGTGGAGAGGCCTGGCTCGTTTGGGCACTTTTTGTCTCCACTGGGTCGTTATACGTCTACACGGGAGAGAGGAGGAGGAAAACGGTTAAACTCATTGTAACGTTACTTTTGGCCTTTAAGGATAATATCTGTGCTCACACAGTTTTCAGGATCATTGAGGGATTATTGGATTTATGCTCATGGTGTGTGTAGTTTTATGATTTTGATCATTTCAAATATACTGCATATTATTTTTCTTCTTTCGCTTAACATAATATTGTAAAGTACAGCTCGTACCACCCACCACTATAATTTAAATACATATTTTTGTAAAAATGTTTGACTTAATTGTTGTATCTTTATCTGTGAGATACAGCTATACTGGGTTTTACTGAGAGCAATGTTAAACTGGAGTTACAGTAGATTCCTTGTATGTACTTGACCATATCGATGAAGCTATGTCTCAAAACTTCAGCAAATTCCGAACACTATGTTATTATTACTGTGAGAAATCGTGGCCAAGGAATAGAGAAGAATGAAGTGGTTATAAAAGATAAGAATTCAAATAATGAATGAGCTTGTGGATTAACACAAAGTGCAACTTAATCCTTTATTGAAATGCAGATTTGTACCACTTGTATATATTATTATGTACATGTATTTGTGTATTTGTGTTGTTTCTCTTTAGTTGTAAATCAGCTGTATAGTTTTGCAGAATCAGTAACTGACTCTGTGCATGAACCAATTTCTGAAAGGTAAAAATATGTGATGAGCATCATTGCATGGTACAGGATCATGCATGTGACAGCTGAGAGAGCTGATGGACACTGGATGATAAAACTGCCCCACAGCGCCAACTGCTGCTCCTCCTCATTCCCACAGAGACGATCCTCTCAGGGGAGGGTTTCAAAACAATATGTCACTGATGCAAAGAGAGGAGCAGCTGGCACTGGCAAATTCAAATACAAAGACAATCACTTCAATGAATGGCTCCTCTTCGTGTATTTGATATGAAAATGTGGTTTTAAATGTCAGTATTTACTGTGCTGTACATGCTGAGCACTATTCATCACCGTAACATCTTTTTAATCATTGTAAATAATGCTTCCCATGGTCACTTCAGATTTTATTGTCTTTAATTATTCTACAGAAAGACCTGTTGAAGCTGCACAGACACACACAKACACACACACACACACACACACACACACACACACACACACACACACATATATACATGCACCCATTTATTTTGCAGCTCTCTTCCTGTCCTCTGCTCTTTCATGAGATGTTGTGTGTGTTTGTGTGTGTGTGTGTGTGTGTGTGTGTGTGTGAGTGCAATACATCCAGTGTTCCTCATTTACTGTCAGACTGGCTGAGGTGATCTGTGACAGTCTGCTGTTTAGTAATGGCTCACATCCATCCCTCCAAACCCCTGAAATAATCAATGGAACAGGATGGAGGGATGGATAAAGCAGAGGGACACACATTTCTGCTGGGTCAAGTGGAAAATTAAATACTAAAGAAATGGTCTGTTGGCAGAAGGGACTTCATATTGTAATAAAAGGATTTCATATTTGTTAGAGGAACTGTTTATGAACAATTTATATATGTTTGTTTGAAGACAGTTTAATGAAGCGTTTAATAAATCTGTGGAATTTAAACATTTTTTAAATATCACATTATGCACTATTTTTTTGTTATTAAATGAGGACGAGAAGTGCCACGACCTACAGCAATCACACTTTTTTCACAAGCTGACATGCGTCACAAAACAAAAAGGCAACAGGTGCACGCCGAGGATGTGAATCCTTCAAATGATGCTCCAATTACCTCTAATTCCTACAACCCCCCCCCCCACATTCACTTTGAAAAGACTCCTTCATTGGTAACAGAAAGAGAGAGAGAGTCGTGTTGAATCATGAGATTCAGGCCTGCATTCAGATCGGTTTATTTTTGTGTAAGTTTTTTTTTGACTGGCAATCTACCAACATATAGTATCAATCAAGTCTCTGTATAGGAGCTCTGACGTGAATGTGTAATTGCACCAGCAAAGACAAGAGATGAGAATGGTCTTTTCAGTTGTAAAGTATGCCTCAGTGAAGAGGCTGATGAATTAACTATTCATGCCTTAATCAAGGTGCTTGTTTTTGGCCCATGAGCAGGAGAGGAAGTGTGGCACCGTGCCGAGTGGGGAGGAAGGAGGAACTGCGAGAGGGGAGGAGCTTGGTATATGCTAATGCAATTTAGAGCTGTGTTTAGAAAACAATGCAGGAACTTAGAAATGAAAACGCAGCGATTGAACAGAAACACCAGCGCACTGTGAAAAAAATCCTTCGCAGATGTAAGGAGTGTTGTCGGGGGCATTTCATATTAACGCCTGAAGAAAAATAAGACCTTTCACGATGTGGATGAGGCTTTTACACAAGCTGATAGAAATGCATTAATGTTCTCAACTGGAGCAAACCTGAAGCAAAGAGGGAGCAGTGGGTGTGAGTAAAGCTCAGCCAACACATTAGAGGCCCATCAGGGAGGACAGACACACCAGGAGGACAGCAAATGATAGGTAATGTCCACTTCTGCTCTTACACCATGTGCACACTGTTCAGCACGCACACACACACATGCACGCACAAACACACACACACACATGCAGACATGTACTGTTAATTTTTATTTCTCCCCAGGTTGCAAATCGGGTGTGTTTGGGGTCTAATGTTCACTGTTCTCCTCTGAGCACACACACACACACACACACACACACACACACACACACTCACAAACATACAAACCTCTCTCCGTGCAGCAAGTGGACCCTTTTCATGGAATAAGAGTGAGAGGAATTCTCTGTCTAATTTATCATCCCTTATATCGCCGCTGACCCATGTATATCAAAGACGTGACCCCCGCAGTTACCTTGGAAACCAGGCTGGCTCTGTAGGCGGCCAGGGCTTTCAGGTACTCTTTCTTCGCAGCCTCCGTTTTCCTCTTGTAGCTCTGCAGGAGCAAACACAACAACAACAACAACGATTGATTACAAGGTGATGCCAAAGGCTAAAATGACCCTGTGGTCCATGCTGACTGATGTGGATGAGATTTTGGGAGTCATGGTGTGATTGTGTGACCGGACAGGGTGCCCAGCGATGAAAGACATATCGAATGCATTCATTACACCGTTATCAAGTCAAGGAGCTTTGACCATCTGCATGACGCTGCTGCCCCAGAATCATTTATTGCTTCCAAAATGTCCCGAATGAAATGCCAGGAAAGCTTGTGCAGAATAACCGAAAATGGAGTTTGAAGTGTTATGGTGCTCAATCAGGAGAGAAAACCTGTTTGTCATTTTGTGGACTGCTTTTCACTCTGTTGCTCGTCTCTTAATCAGAGCCGATGTCCCAGCAAATCATTCAGACGAGGAAGAAAGAAAAATAAATAAATAAAAAGAATTCAAAACAGCATCAGCAAAGCGGGAATCTAAAGGCTTCAGAAAAACCTCAAATGATGCGTTAAGACGGGGAATCGGAGTTAATGTCATCACATGTCACTTACGGGCTCTTTATGGATGCCATTGCCTTTTTGATGCAGGGAAAACAAGTCGCAAAAGTCCACTCTTAAATCGATGAGGAAGACTCAGATCTCAGCTCCCCTCTGGAGCATTTTAATATGAAGAAATGTGTGTGTGTGTGTGTGTGTGTGAGTGATTGCAGTGGGGTAATTACTGATCCTCAATGAGAGACAGTCAGTGGTTCCCATGGACGGGGTCATTTCTTTCAAAGAGGTGGGGTAGAATAACCATTAAGCATTCATGCGTTGCTGAATGCACACAGGCAGGCAGCCGCTAACACATGCAGTCAATAAACAAACAGACGTTCACACAACAACAAACAGACCAGGATGAAGATGGATATCCAAGCTCCAATAGTTGACGTCCCCTCACTCATCCCTATTTCCATCATTGTCATTATTATTTCCTTTCCAGGACAGAACCCAGATATTTCAGAAGACTTGAATTCAGCACTCTATGAAATGTTTCCAGAAAATACCTAGAAGGAAAGGTAAAAAAAAAACACAACAGAAGTGACGACCTTACCGCTCACCCCTTAAATATTGATAGAGCCGTGGCTGCCTCTTTAATGAACCCCAAACTACTTCAATTTCAAATTAATTTAACACGGCTAATGAGTCGCGCAACGACGGATACTTTTAAATAAATTACCATGCCTAAGGATGTCTAATTATTCCAAAGTGAGTGGATTCATTAGCAATTGAAGCCGTCATGAGGCTGCAGGTCAGTATGAATTAAAAATAACAAAGCTGCGAGGGGAGAGCATATGCCTCCATCGTAATCCTGACACAGAGGTGTCCCGCCTGAATTAGCCTCTAATTGTACCTTAATGAAATGTTCTTGTTTGATAACCAGTTAATTACAGGAGACAATAACGCTGCACCCCGCCGACACTGAAGGGAGTGATTACCCCGACGCCTGGAAAGACAGCGCAACTGGTTAGACGAGCAGGAAACAAACGGGAAGTGTGGACAGGAGAGGAAAAGGATAAGAGGACGAAAGGCAAAGAAAAGAAACGAGAGGAGAAGGAAAGAAACCAGAAAAGAGGACACCAGGAAGAGGGGGGGGGGKAGAAAGGGGAGGAGAAAAAGGAAAGGAATGGACATTGAGAGAAAAGAGGGGGGAAGACAAGAGTGGCAGGAAAGGGCGAAAAGGAGTAATGTGAGGAAAAAGGAAGAGAAAGGAGGTAGGAAGAGAGGACCCAGGAGAGGAAAGGAAAGGGAGGAGAGAAGGAGGCAACAATTTCAAATCAAAAAGGAGGAAACAAACATTTGAATGTAAAAGGGAGACAAGCAGAAGAAAACTGTAAAAAACAGACGCTGAGGTTCTGTCGAACAGAAACTAAAACTTAGCCTCGGCATGAGCAGTTTAATATCAAAGTGTGTCTCTTAAACAAAGTGACGGCGTTCGTTTACTTCTATCTCTGACTTCTCGCTAATACATAGCAGACTCAATTAAAGCTAAGGTCTCTCCTCCCTCCTCCCCAAGTCCACGAGCATCGTTTCTTTCTTCTCTCATAAGAAAAACAGAGAATTGATCTTAATCTTAAATAACAAAAACAAGAAAAATGTTCTTTGTTTCTGGGGCAGCTTTAACATGTCGTCACCTTGAGGAATAACACATCCCAAATAATGCATTGATCTTGCTACAATAAAGCAAAGGCCTTTGGGGAATTTAAAAGAGATGCCGTATAGAACGAAAGCTACGAGAACGTCTTAATAAAAAAGGAAAATATGAACATTAACATGAATAAAAAAATATACTTCTGTTCTGCGGAACACACGGACGGCACCGGAGAATACACAACAGCACAGACAGAGAGGGGGAAAAAACGCACAACAAAAAGAATGGCAGAAAGAACTCAGTCACAGCAATGAGGCGTCTGAACAGATCGTTTCTTAAATAAAATACAGCGATAAAACATTTTGCCTTCAGTGCATTTTTTGTGTGAGTTCAGCTGCACGGTGTGTTTGAAGAGCGTACTGCAGGTAATTGGAAACAGGGGCCACGTCCTAGTTAAAACAAAGCTGTGTATAGGGGAAGGGTTGTGTTTACATTCTGGTGCTCCTGCATGGCTCCAGAGGGTCTGACTGGGATTCTGCAGAACGCAGCTCAGCCCTCCTATAGAGATGACGTGACGGCTAGAGTTGGAAAAAAAAGAAAAGGAATAACACCATCGACCAGAGCTGGGGGGGTAGAAGTTATAAGATTTAAGTTGAAAGTATTTAAGAAGTGAAAACTTGTCATGGAATGTTTTCATGTCATTTAAACTTCTGTCTGTGTGTATATGTGGAACACATATCTCTCGAACTGCTCAACTTATCGGCTGCACACTTGTTAAGGGTCCAGGAAAGTGCACGGCTGAGTTTGGTGCGATTTGGACACGTGATACGTTCGGTATTAATAAAATTTGAATAAACAGGCGACCAAGTGCTCTGTAGCCGTTAGTGGGGGTGGGACACTGTGCCTGTGTGGGCCGAGGTCAACATGTTTTCTTCCACGACCTCCGAAGCTACAGCGGCGGTCTGCAACTGGATCAAACCGCCGGTCAAATCGCCACCAGATCATTTTGATGATTCGATTGTTTTTCTTTCATCACATCAGACTGAGCTCAGTGGCCGATCACTGTCATGGCAGCAACATTCACAGAATCACTTCCTCGTATCAAGTTGTCTACAAAGTAAGTGCACAACGTTCGTGTTGTTGCTCCAACGCTTTACATTGAGCTAAAATACTGAGCTTTTATTTTGAAACGTTGTGAACTTGGTTCTGAAGAGTGTGTCGATTACTAAGAAGTACATAATGTCCAATGTTTGACAGAATAACACCAGCCACACATGTGAAAAATAATAAAGCTAATTCAGTTTCACTTCATTAAAAACATTGACTATAAAATCTTCACTGCAGATAAACCAGGTAGGATGAACACAAAGAATTCTAACTTCACTCTGCACCATGGACTGTTTATAAAAAGCCCTGCACCCAACGTCCAGCACGCAAACAATAAAAAAGAGTCAGTATATTATAGAACTGTTTAAAGTGGATTAATTATAATAATAATAATAATAATAACAACAAATGCCTATTCCAAACAGGTAGGTTTAGAACAAACACTGGACTAATTTTAAACGAAAGAAGCAAACCTAAATGTTTAATGAGAATTTAAATGCTACAGCTACATTGGGTCCACTCTGTAAATACACAGTTATCAAGTTTATCCATGTGCTGTGCAGGAGTAAGTGACAGTGCTAGTCACTGACTGAATAATTAGGACAATTACAGCGTTATTGCCCAGACAGGGTGGTACATTTCATTCTATAATGACATCATTACCTCAAGTTAATTATCTGCTGTGTGAGGTGACACGTTTGATTAAACACATGAGTGCACAAACAAATCAAAAAATTAGCCGCGGAACGGTGCAACAAATGGGCAAATTTTTAATGGAGGAGCTGCCCTCTTGTCAGCTTCCTCTGCGTTCTCAGGTAAAACTGTGAAGGACGAATGCATTTAGGAGGAGAGAGAGAGAGAGGGAGAGAGAGAGGGAGAGAGGGAGCAAAATCTAAGTTGAAAAAGACACCAGGACACGAAGGGTTAAGAAGCACAAACAATAACATTTCAGGAGCAGATGTCCTTGAGGCGAAACCAAGGACAAGGCAATTGCTAATCTTGTATTCCCAGCATGATCAAATCACCAGGCAACAGATATAAATAAAAGGACAGGAAATGAGGAATTCACATTCAAGGGTGTCAGTGGCGAAATGAAGATTCATGGTGAAGAGCCCCGGTGAAGGCGGCAAAAATTAACTGCAAATAAAAGGGACAGACGGCCTCCAAAGTCCAGCGTATAAAGTAGGTTTGCAGGGAGAAAAACACACACACACACACACACACACACACACACACACACACACACACACACACACACACACACGGATGGGGTCTCGTCGACGGTGGCTGGGGCTGAGGAGAATGGGCTGCACTTTGTCATGGAGACAGGTGCTTTTATTTGACACCCAATAGGCTGCGGTCTGACTGGATATTCTAAAAAATATGAGTCTGCGCATGATCACCAGAGTGTCTCATTTTCCATTCATTTCACACCATCATTTCTAACCACAAACACACAGGAGCCTCTCTGACTTCGTCTGTTGGTGTTCGATGCTGAAGTGAAGCCGATGATGTGCTTGATTTAAACTGCAGTGAAAGTTGCTGCGGCTCCATATACACGGGTCAAACTTCAGTAAGATTAAATTGACTCTTGATAATCTACAGCTGATGAAAGCGACTGACACAGGCCAGACAACTGATCCTGAACCGCTTGGTTCAGTGAGAAAATGCATTTAGAGCTGAGATGATAAACAACTAACCCATAAAGACCGGACGCTTCATATACCTTTAAGATCAGACACAGATGTTATTCATCGTTATTCACTGTAATACTTGTAGCTGTCGAAGCAGATTACAGCAGAATCTTATTGATGAAGACGATTCAGACCAAGACGAGGAACTTTGTCAGGCTTATTGTTTTTTTTGTACAACTTTCGTTGAGTTTCGGGAAATGGCAAGGATCCACACAATGAAAGCCAAACATTTAAGCATTTTTGTATTTCATGTCTATCTGCCTCAGGGGCTGAGAGGTTAAAGTTTTTGTGAATGTTGTGCCAACTCTGCAGAAAACCCTCAGGTTTTAGTTTGTAGTTCTCAACAAATGATATTCCGCGCCTTCGGTCTGAATGGGTTATTGGTCATTCAATCAAAAGAAAATGTATCTACATGTGTTTTAATAACTGAATAAACATTTTAGTACTTCTAAAATGGGATGACTTAATCTTGCTCTTTTTCATATATGATAATAAACTGAAAGTACTTGAGCTTTTGACTTTTTTAGTAGCATCTCTATTCTCTATGAATCTATTTCATTGACGATGACAGGATGATAAAAGATGAATGTACCTGTTTCTGCTCCTCTCCCAGTCCGTCCCACATGGAGGCGACTATCTTGGATACATCACCGAAGGTGGCGTTGGGATTCTGTCCCTTAATGGCTGCCTGGGTGTCTCTGAAGAACAAAGCGTAGGCTGACACAGGCTTGGTGGGCTCATTGGGATCCTTCTTCTTCTTCTTTTTTTGGGGCTTGGGTTTGGGCTTCATCATCTCTGAAGATGGCCGCTTCTCGCCTGTGATCTGGAAGACGAAAACACGAAACAGCTTATTGTCACATGGAGAAACAAGGCCTAACAATTCATCTGCCTTTGGAATGAATAATTGCATCTGTGATGGATGCTTATAACACAGGGTCTGGGTGAAGCATGTAAACTTCATTAAATCCATAACTCAATCTCTCCGCTCAATAGCTGTGTAGTCAGCATTTGAATATTGCAGCGATGTTTCACTGACAGTCACACTCACCGACAACAGTTTTTCTTTTCTGCTTTTACTTTGTCAAAAAATAACATCGGTTATAGTTGAATTTACCGAACCCTTTCAAATCTTTATTTTTCAGTTGTTCAGCAAGTCATAAATTCTGACTCTTCATGCAAAGGGGTGAATGGAATTTTAAATCGCCTGCTGTATCTGCCCGGGCTTTGATGTGGTCTCCGAATAAATTGGAGAGAGCAAATGGAATTACTTACTGATAGGAGCGATGGTAATCATTTTTATTCACATGCACAGTGAGACGCACGGCAGAGACGTACAGGCTAGAAAATATATTTTTTAAAGTACAGGACCCCCCCTTCTTGTTATACTGTATCACTGTGACCTATCATTTAAATACACAGATGAATGTGAAACACTGCGGACGTGGCAGATTAAATTACACACTCATTCACACTCCCCCTGATAGAAATGAAGCAAATCCACAGAGACATCGGTTGTTGGGCAATTTATGTGAACGCTTTTACAGATTTGCATAAAGCAAATGAATGTTCTCTTCCAATTTGTGAATGAAGCAGTGGTAGGTTACAAGCCAGGCTGCGGATAACAAAATTCCACAGCACTGCCAATGCCTTGCATCTGCGTTGATGATCGAACTGTTAGAATACGTAAAAGCGTGTATTTCCAATAAATGCATCATGGGAAAGTATGTCATGTCGTCTCATGCGTGTGCAAGAGTTTGCCAACTAACTTATAAACATGCATTGGGCTGTGAACAAGTCACAAATGTGTAATTGGAAAATAAATTGACAGTGAATTTATCTTTGCACAAAAAGAAACCTGTTTCTCTCAAGTGTGAATTTTTGACTCCTAAATTTTGCTTTTGAATTAAATGTGCTGCTCAGAATGGAGAAAAAAGTAATAAAATTCAGTGCGATCATGAACTTGATGTCTCAAAGCAATTTTCTTTTCAAATATGACATAGCACCACAACATTCCTTACACATATTAACGTTTTAACCTCCAGCTCCTGCAGAACTCTTCTAACGAGTTTTCCAGGGACCCATATAAAAGAATCACAGCTACACCTGCAGTTAACATGCAAACCAGCTCAGAAAAGCCCTGCCGAGCCCACGCCTGCTACTCCACAACTACAAGCCAGAGAAGCCACACGCCACATCATCAGTACCTTCGCATGAGGATCAATCTCCTCTTCCTGATTGGAGCTCGAGGGGGAGGGTGTGGCCGATTTACTTCCGGGAGGTGAGGGGGAGCCGTGAGGCAGCGCACTGCGGCTGACCTGAGAGTTCAGCTGGGACAGTGCTCTCATGGGGTTGGGCAGTATCGGAGGTGAGCTGTTTATCAGGGGGTGGTTATGGGCAGGGTTGTAATGAGCGCCGCCCGGGTGCTGGTGACGGTGTTGCTGTTGTTGGTGGTGGTGGTGGTGGTGGTGCAAAGCCATCTCCTGCATCTGGGGTGAGAGAAGAACACCAGCTTTACTATCTTCTCCTCCGCTCAAAAAAAGTTTGCCAATTTGCCAAATATGCAGTTACTTGAAAGTGGAGACGACATTATCAAATTTGACAAAAAGGTGTAAAGCTAATAAAAAAACATCTGACAAAAAATGAGATGAATTGGAAAGAGGGAAATATGTCTGCTAGAAAATAGACAGACCAAAAAATAAATAAACCCTCCAACAGGTTTTAAAGTCAAGGCTGGTGGTTAGAAAACGTCTCTTTCCTCTTGAAACTGTCTTCTCTTCAGACAGTAACAAACTATATAAACAGCCGGCTTGTGCCAGAGTTTATCTGTTTGGTACCTGAATTCAGCACTGACCTTGATAGTGGAGGAAATGGCTATAAAAATCCAGTTAAACAATAATATAGGTAATATCTCACACAAATAAGAAGATACAACATCTCAGGTGAAGCCGAGAAAACACATCTCACTGCAACGTAACTATAGAAACCAAACAACTTGCAGTATTTGCTAACTACAAGACCCTCTAGAAAACGTAGCACCTGCGAAAGTTTCCAAAGTCTCATTTTGAAGGAAGAATTTGGGTTTTGTTTCGTGAGACACAGGCTACATCCATACTACAACATGTGAGTTCATGAACGATCTCTGCCCACATGAGTGTTTTGGCTTCATATCAGTTTTAATCAGCGTACATACTAACATGCCCGAAAAGGCACATGACACGATTGCTCACGTACACTGGGCATATGTGTGCAGATGAAAACAGGAAGGAATGCGCATCCTGCTGCTCCCAGGAATTGTGGCAGCTTGCTCAAATAATAGCTTTGCAACATTGATTAGAAGCAACAGTTCTTAGCATAATGGAAAGGTGTGTCAATGTTTAAATTATCTATACATAAGAAAATGCCGGATAGAGATGAAGGGAGCAGCAATGAGGAATGAAATGGAGGAGTTATTACCATTAATGGTAGAATATGTGAGTAGGCATATTTTTTATCAAGCAGTCGTGTAATCGTAGTCTACGATCAGCTGCCACCACCATCACGATCCACCATCACGATCCACCATCACGATCCACCATCATGACCCACCATCAGGATCCACCATCACTAACCATGATCACGATGCACCATCACATCAAGCTGTGTCAACGTCATCTTTTCCAAACATCTCAGTTTCTGCTCATCCAAACTACAGCACATTTCAGTTTGGAGTTTTCAAACTAAAATGGAGCCAGCAACGTTTCTGCTCAGGAAATATTCCCCACTGAGCGAAATGTTACAATGTTAACATAACACACATTTCTGGATGATTTGAGAACTCATTTATCAAATCACTGCCAGATTGCACACTAGAATAAGTTAAATCATCTATTAAGGAGCCATAAGTCATGTTTCTATATTATTCTATATTTCTATATATTCTATCGTCTTTTTTCGTTCATTTGAAGTTTTCCTCAGTTTCCATATGAGACTTACAATTAAACTTTATCTCAATGATACATCTTCAGTAAATCTTACTCTTACAGCAAAAGGTAACTTCTATTGATTTCTTCTAAAAGTGGGAGAAAACATCAGCTCCTGCTTCTGAAAATGAATTTTTGTTTAGACGCCTGCAGGAATCTGAGCACCTGATAGAGCAATCATTGAATCAATAGCATTGATGAGGAACCCTATCAACCCCTTTGCAGAGATATTATTCTCACCATGTGCAAGGGAGAGAAATAGAATTTACTGCTATGTTAAAAAACAGAAACAAAACTGGTTCTTGCAGATGGAGACTGACCCTCAAACCGAGAACATCCTTCAGACTGATTACAGAATCACACTCGTCGCTTTTAGCAGTCGTATAAGATCTTCAATAACAACCACATCAAAAGCTTTTCTTCAAGATTCATCAGGATACAACATGAGCACAGACCAAAGGATGCTTTTAATGTAGGCATAAATGGAAATGTTTGGCAATTTACAGATCAGAAAGTGATGAACTAGCATTTGTTAGCTCTTTTAAACATTTATGAGTTAAATAATACATTACACATTAGTGCCTTGCAAAAAAAAAAATTGAAAGAGCCCGAGCATATGAGGTCTTGATAAACACAAGTAGAGGTTCAGAGATGAAGGCTCGGCTCTCTAATCATAATTGGTCCCAGTAGATTCCTAGAATAAAAATGCACAACAAAGTAATGTTGAACGAGGCTCTGGCCTGCTTTGAAAACTCATAATATTCACACGACATTATATTCTGTGCCTCAGCAGCTGCTCACAAAAGCCAGCCATGAACAAAGGCATTCCTTTTGCATTTCAAATAACCACGCTGTAACCTCCCCCATCCACAGCAATCTCCAACCTCCAATCAAAATTCAAAACACCATCGCTGTACTTCTTAAAACATGAGGAAACAGCCCCAGCAAACCGAGTGGTAATACTGCAAAAAATAAGAGAGGAGAGAAAAACGAAAAGGGAAAAAAGAAAAAAATAGAAATCCATTAATTTTCCATTTTCCATGGACTTGCTCTTTAAGGGTCCTCTCCTCACAAACCAAGAAGCATTGAAAAAGCAATTAATCAAACATGAATGGCCTATCATAGATATAGCGGACGCATTTCCATAGCAACAGCCTCCAGGCAAAACCGTCACCTTTTAATCTGAGCCACAACATGTTTAATATAAACAAGAGGGAGACATGCACAGAAGCAGAGTTCATCAGGCGGAAGGTGCCACGCCACCATGGCATCGTGGGTGCTGGGTTGTCAGGGATAACAAAACCTTTAAATTATTTAAGTCCCTATTACTAATTGATTTGAGACGTATATTGTAGCCTATATATCATTAGTAGCATTTCATCTTGGAGGGAGAAAATTAAGGCGATGGTGAGGAAAGTGAGGGGTACTTTATATTTACAGGATTGTTGATTTGTTTTGCATCTTTTGGTATTTTATGTTCATATTTTAAAGCATCAAATTAAGTTTTATCAGTTTTCAGTCCTAACTAACAAAGAGGTTAGTTTACAGAAAATGTAACAAGCAACTCCACCTAAACTTACATTAATTTAAGTCAGTATTTAACCTATTATATTAACTGTGAGGTATGAGTCAAAAACCAAAAAGTGTAGCATTAACTAACTACTGTAGAAGACATATAAATGATCTTATCACAGTTACTACATGTATGTATATAAAAAGCATAACACCCAAGCAACTCATAGTGCTCATAACTCAAAACCTCCTATTGTGATAGTTTATTCTAATATTCACTCAAAAGTCCCATTTTAAATAAAAAATGTCCCAGAGTGCTTTGAGCTGTTGCGTTCACCTGAGAGCGACAGAGGGAGCAGGAAGTTATCACCGAGCACCATCAGTCCCTGATCTAAATAAGGCGAACGACAGACTGCTGAACAAATATTATGAAATGATCTGACAAAGGTTGCTGGTTGCCATAGGTACAGTATGCTAATGGTATCATCCAAATGGTCAAGGGGGTGGAGGAGTCTGGTCCCTGCTCTCTGTCTTTACTAACTCACACTGGAGACGATGTGTTTTTGCTGTATTTCCTGGAACAACTACAAACCCAAGGCTACCAACAAGAGAAATGTAGTGGCTTAAATTTTAATATTTATATTATACATAAAGTTGGATTCCGATATCTCTCGGGGATCGAACCTTCTTGTGCTTAACCCTTCGGGCAATTTAGCTGTTTGTTGTAAAGTCCCGGGAGAGTCATGTCCCTGCAAACACAGGAGGAGAAGTAAAATGAGGACGGGAGTGGAGAGAGCGAGAGAGAAAAGAAAAAAGGAAAAAGATACAACAACAAAAAAATCCTACTTGACCTTCGTACCAAAATTCATCTCCAAAGTTAGCGAGGGGACAGTAAGATATTGCTGTTTGGTGATGAGCAGCCAGGCGATTCTAAACTGTGATGTAAAGCCAGGAAACTCGGTGTGAACGTGTTCCACTGCCATCGTTGCGCCTGTCGTGTTTGTATTCACATCTTGTACATCATAGTCAAATGGGAGTCAAATAACAAAGGCTTTCCAATTATGTGTAGCACATTGTGCGCGAGATGGAATATCACAAAGCCATTGTTCCCCTGCTCTTGCTGACCTTACCTTTGAAATGGTTTCACGGCCGCTCCAATTGCCTGCACCATTTGATTTAGCTAAGGGGATTTGACCACCAGCACAGAGATGAGAGAGGGGAAGAGAGAGCCCCTACACATGGCTACGAGGAGAGAGAGGAGAGATTCATACCAGAGGAGGGTGAAAACAGCTAACCTTGCTTTGTCCTCATGATGATTATAGCAGAGTGGCATCTGTTTCATCATTTCAATAAGCAGCTTGATTGCTATGCAAAAGCTTTATTGCGCCGGCATCATAATAAAAGACTCTCTCCATGCTAAGGAACCAATAAATGTTGTGTTCATGTTTCTGCTTATTAGCCCCATCTAAAATAAATCTTCAGCGTTCGTCAAATTTTTAAATGTAGAGTCGGCAGCAGAACCTGAGTCAATAGTTCAAAATGTAAATGGGAACTGAAATTTACTTGGTAGCGTTGGAGTATTTTTTTCCCACCATGATCTCATCCAGTATTTAACATCACCTGCTGATGTGTTTCACTCTGACATGCTGACCCTTTCTCCTTCCCTCCCTGCCCTCTCTCAATACACGGAGATCAATCGCTCCTGCGAGTTTTAAGACTTTCCCCTCTCCGGTCGCTGCTTGACTGGAACCATCTTGTTTAGAGTGATGGCTCACTCACACAGGTTCACGGCTGCTATTGTAAAATCACCCAGCGTTTAATTGAAACAAATGACTATAATAATAGAACATTATCCCTGCAGGCACCCAGCCATGACAGCTTTAATTAGAGGCGCGTACAAGACTGATCCTTCAAAAGCGCCGCCGTGGTAAACACGCCTTTAGGTGGGGGAGCCAACCCCGGGCCTCGCAGCCCTCAAAGCTACTTCTCATTCACCCTGAGGGCAGAGTACTAAC